CCCGGAGCGGGGCGGCTGATAAGGACGCGGCGGCGTGGGGCGAGAGCCGGCCTGTTTCTGGGCTCCTGCTGCCTGCCCCTGAGGGCCGTCCCCCGGCCTGGCCTCCGAGGGCTGCTCCCGCCGCGAAGCCCGCGGAGACCGCGCGATGGACGGGGTCACACTGCCCTCCAGTGGCCAGCCCGCCAAACGGCGTGCGTGGGCCCCACTAGGAGCCTGGGGTGCCAGCCCACGTCCTCTCTGCCCTGGGGCGCATTTGAACGTGCGGTTTGACTCATCCTCCGTTCCCCTCCCTTCTTTTCTTCTTTTTCTTAATTTTATGAGATAGAGACAGAGAGACACAGGTACCCTTGACAGGATGTCTCCACATCACCATCCTCTCAACCAGCCAGAATAGGGGTGCCCCATGTGTTCAGGCCAGCTAGGGATCTGAACCAGCCCCTTTCACGTAGCCCCAAGGATATGCAGCGGTGCCCTGTCACCTGAACCACCATGGCTGCGTTGGGCCCCAGGTTCCTCTTCTAGGCCCTGGAGCGTCACAGCGTCCACTGAGCCAGCAACAGAGATGTGCTTCCTTGAATGGCTCCCAAAACTAGCGTGTGCGCCAGGATCCCCTGGCAGGCAGTCCAAATCCGGAGTGCTGGGTCCCAAGTCCAGACTCACAGAATGTACACTTCATTCTTGTCTTCTTCTTCATCTTCTATTTAATTATCAGAGGGTGTGTGCACTGGCCAGAGAGAAAGAAACAGAGGAAGAAGGAAAAAAACACCCCTAATGGCGTGTGGTCACTCCAAAATCCCTTCTCCTCCATTTTCCATCCTGTTTGGATTTGGGGCAAACACACACATCCCTGGAGTATTTTTCAAGTGCCAGGGCCAGGATTCCACTTGTGGTCTGCCATGTGGAATCCAGCTCCCTTAACTACTAGAGCCCTGGAGTGGCCTGAGAATGTGCATCTCTAACACATTCCCAGGGGATGTGGTGCTTGCTGCGTGATCCTGGAGCCACAGCTGGAGCACCACTGGCTCCCTATACTCACCCTGTCCTGGGGACTCTGTCATTCACTCATTCAAGATATAATATGTCCTGCTAGAATGGAGGACACATGGGATCAAGATGAGGTTCCACCCTCTTGGAGCAGAGGAGACAGACTTGTATAAACAAATGATCTAAACAAATGCAAGATTCCATTTAAAAAGTCTTTCAAATTCCAATGAAGGAAAAGACTAAGCTGCCCAAAGAGCAGGTACAATGGAGACCTAATTTGGGTTGGGAATGGGGAGGCTGTCTGGGAAGGCCTCCTGAGGAAACCCTTAAGCTCAGGCCGGAGGAGGAGGGAAGTAGTCCTGGGGACAATGGGCAGGAGGGACTGGGAATAGTAGGGACAGCAGGCAAGAGACCTGGAGGTCTCTTAGACCAGGAGGCCAAGCTAAGGCACAGGCAGTGGGTCAGAGTCCCTTAGTCTGTACATCTGGCACCCGGACTGCATCTTCAGGAGGTAACACTCAGAGCTGCTCTTCCTCCTGACCTGCAAGGTACAAAGATCTTTACCACAGCCCCTCCCAGAGCACGCAATCCCCCACCTGCAGGAACCACAGCCAGGTGTCCATGGCCCGTGAACTTCTCACTGCATGGACCAGGTTTGCTCAGGCCCCTTCCCTAAGCCCTGTAAGAGAGTCACGTTTGATGGAACCGGGTTTGCCAAGCCCTGGTGAGAAGATGTGGTGCTATCATCCAGCTAGTCAATGTTTCAGCTCCTCCCTGCTGGGGTCCAGGACCTAGCCATCTTGCCAGTAAGATGAAGCACCTACTGTGTGCTGGGGTCACTACGTGAGGGATAATACAAAGGGTGTGCCCTAGGCTTGCCTTGCAGCTGCCAGTGCCTTGGAGAACAGTGGTGGGAAGACTATCCTGTTTGCCCCCCAGCCTGCTGTAAGCACGCCCACTCCAGCCGTGAATCGGGGGGGGGGGCAGCTTCTCAAGAACGGGCCTGGCGGCCACG